AGATAATGGAATTAAAGTACTGCAAGGCTTTTGAAACAGTAACACACACCAAAAAAACACATATTCAGATCTTGTGTTTTTCCATCCATCTACCGTCTGATGTTGACTGGTTTATTTTTATGTCCATTGATTTGATTTACTTTGTTATATATCCATTGTTATTGTTGTATTGCATCATTTGCATTGCTAGCTGCCCCGCACTAATCGGATGGTACGGACGTTCAGTAAATAAATAAATAAATCCTGGAATGAAAAAGGTTGCGAAGATCTCAAACAGCGGCCAAAAATGTGGAGGGTGGGCTTCACACCCTCTCCCTCCCCGGTTTACTCAACACCTATTGCAAAAAAGTCTCCGCATCAGGTAATAATAGACCTCCTTCCTTCCTTTTGTTTGTTGGCAGGGAGAGAGAGACAGTTACAGGTAGAAGAATGAAAACCTACGCTGCGCGAGCAAGAACATAACACGGTGAACTTCCTGAAGGGCAAGAGGCCTACCGGGGAGTTCAGAAAAGGGTTAATCTAATACATGAGCTGGGAGAGAATTCTACATCTCTGTATATCCCCTCCTCATGCTTTCAGGTTGACCTTTTCTGAACACTTGAATAGAATGGATATCAACTCAGACTGGAGGTGAAGGTTCCTCTGTTTTCGCTTCTTGTTTACCAGAAGCTTTCTGTACATTAAAAAAAAAAGGAACTGGTGGATTGGTTCTAGTCTGGCATGCTCCTCGATGCATCCATTTTCCTGTTCAAGTTGCTCCCTTTTCAGACAGTGGGGGTATGCAAATATATAATCACTCAACTGCACTCCGAAGCAGAAATGGCGACACAATACGATTCTCCTATTAGTGTCATTTCTGAATCAGAGCGCTTTTCTGCCTTGTTGACTGAGGAACTAAAATGTACTTTGGGAAAGCAAGGAGCTTTCCCACGCTTCTACTTGTTAAGCGTTCCCTTCCTCTGGGAATACTAAGCTTCTCCAGAAACTCTATAGACTGTTACGGCAGCATTTATGCCCAACAAAGAAACACACACACACACACACACACACACCTCCCCTCTGCCTCCTTTTGAACTTTACTTATATTTTTGCCATAACTCAAAACTTCAAAGCTAATATTGACTAGACCTCCAGGTCACGAACGGTAATGTCACTTCTTGCTGCTGACAACCAAGCTGTGTGCACATAACGCCAGTACCAGGGAGGAAAACAACTTTCAGTATTTTCTGCACACTCCCCCATCACAGTTATTCCTGCAGCATATGTCACACCAGATGTTGTGTCAACACTGCAGCCAACCTACCAGTGATTATACAATACACACCACATAGTACTGCATCCAAGTCATGACTTCAAACTGTGCTGTATTAATGTTGGATTCAGCTGTCAGCATTCCTAATTTGGTTCCAGTGATCCGGAAGGATCCAAGGCTATTATTTTATTTTAATTATATTTTATTGGTGGAGGTGTTGCATAGCCAACTTTGCAGGGTTCGGGGAGGGTCGGAGCCAGACAAGGAGAACCGGGAGGCCATTCCATGACAGGAATGAAGGAATGGTCCTGGCGTCAGTGGGTTGGGAAACTCCTTTTCTTTTGGGGGAGTGACACTTCGCACGAAAAATGAGGTTCACAGCTTGGATATCTGTCTGGATCTGTATTTCACCATGGAAACTCAGGTGACATCTCCGTATTTCACCATGGAAACTCAGGTGACATCCGTGGTCCGGGCAGCCCATTTCTATCTTCAGAGGATTGCCCAGCTGCGTCCCTATCTAGGCGTGGGGGCAATCACAACTTTGATTCATGCACTCATAATCTCAAGGATAGACTACTGCAGTGCTCTCTACATGGGGCTACCCTTGAGGTTGATGCGGAGACTACAACTGGTTCAGAATTTGACGGCCGGATTAATAACTGGAATGAAGAAATTTCAGCACATCTCCCCTATTCTGGCTGCCCTTCATTGGCTACCGGGTCATTTCCATATCAACTTCAAGGTTATGATGATAACATCCAAAGCCCTAAACAGTTTAGGACCTCGGTATCTAGCAGACTGCCTGCTTCCAGCCAGATCTGTCCGTAATACCCGTTCTTCACAGGCAGGGCGGTTGAGGACCTTGACCCTGAAGGAGGCCCGGAGGGAAAGAACAAGAAACTGGGCCTTCTCGGTGGTCAACCCCGGCCCGTGGAACAATCTGCCCATGAAAATATGCCGGGCACCCTTGTTGGAAGGGTTTAAATGAGCATTGAAAACAACCCCCGCCTGTGGAACAATCTGTCCATGGAGATATGCCGGGCACCCTCGTTGGAAGGGTTTAAATGAGCATTGAAAACTTGGCTCTTCCGTCAGGCTGATATCTCTGCTTCCCTTTTATCATTCTTTCTGCCATCCTTTCACCATCCTTTCTACCATTTTTATCGCCATCTGTTTTAATTTATCCTCCTAGTTATTGTATTCTGTTGAATGTTTTATTATTCTATTCTTATTGTGTTTTAATATTGTGTTGTTTGTCTTCTTGTTGTTAGCTGCCCAGAATGGCCTGGCTGCCAGATGGTGCAAGGTATAAATCTAATAAATAAATAAGCCTGCCTACCTCTCCCCCCCCCAAAAAATAACTCTACTACTGGACACCCCCCCCAAAAAAATCTGGACGGAGCACAGAACAAGGTTGGGCTGGTTCACAATTTCCTGCTCCTCAGCATTACCCAACCTTGGGTCCCCAGATGTGCTTGGACTCAAACCCCCAGAAGCCTTCACCACTGGCAGTGCTGACCAGGATTTCTGGGAGTTGTAGTCCAGGAACATCTGGGGACCCAGGGTTGTAAATCACCACTGCACGTGGTCTGGGTGGTGGGAAATAGCTGCAACTGGACCGTGCCATATGTGGTCCAAAATGCAAGCTACATCACCATCTGACTGCATCCAGAATCAGCTTCCAGATGTTGGTAGTTGTGAACAAATACTATTTCCTCAAGGAATGGCAAAAAAAAACACCACTAGGACAAGGAGGGGAATTTTTTTTTCCTCTCCACAACCCATACTGTTTCCCGCAATTATGCTTCTTTGGTGCCATCAAAATCCCAGAGACGACCGGAGAAAAGAGAACCAACAGAAAGCATGTGTGGTCTAAGCCGCTTTCCTCTTTCCATTCAGTTCATTGTTCACCTTCTCCAATCTCCCTTTTTTCTACTCGTAATTTTTTCTTTCTTTCTTTTTAAAGGTGGAGGCAGCGCTTCTGAAGACAGATCATACACGTTATTAAGATTTAGAGACCGAACCAGGAGGTGCTTCCTTATTACAATAATCTGACCTTTAAGTCTGGGCATGGAGGTTAATGCCAGAGTATTATTTGTGAATCTGAGAACTTCAGCTGGCTCATTTAAGTGCAGCTTTTGAGGCTCCAGTTCTTCTCAAATGTATTCATTTCCCTGATGCTCATGAAAAGCAGAGGAAAAGAGAGAATATGAGTAAGGGAGGGAGACTGAGGCAATGAGGGGGAGGAGAGGGGCAAGACAGAGAGAAAGGACAATAAGGAATTGTGATTTATGGTCAGAAAGATTGTCTGCAATGGCGGAGCACTCTTTCTTAATCAAAGCTTTATTAAATTCTAGTAATAAAAGGCTAAGTGTTTTTAGATGGGAGAGAAGCATAATAGGGTATAACATTCGCTTCAAGAACATTCATTCTGAGTGCGTGTGGGCTTGTATTAGAGGCCTTTCCTACTGACAGATACTCGAAATGTTAGATGCATACTGTCGCAGTCCCGCATTACCCAAAGTCGGAGTTTGGCAGTGATGTTTAATTCCCGTTTCCCTCTCCCGATGTACCAGATAAGCTTCAGAATGAACCAAGCTCCCCTCCCTTCTGCAAAAACCAGTTCAGAAAATATTAGCGCTTCTGTCCGGATCAATGCAAATCAGCCCCACCCTTGTGGTTCCTCAAACGTCACCAGCACACACTTGTTCCTCGCATCCCCATCGGCCTAGAGGGGCTTGGGGTGACATCGCTTGGACCAAAGAAGAAGGGGAGATGGGAACAACTCTTGCAGTTGGCGCCTGGAGGTCTGCGTAGCAGCACACCAGAATGACACCTCTCGGTGGCCATGGGAAAAAAAGAGCTGTTGACATTGAAGGAACTTATGGGAAAGCTTCATTTCCCAAGGACACCAGGGCCATTCCTTCCGGCCCGAAAAAGAGTGGAATACGGATATTCCCTCAAAGCTAGGCTTCTGCCATGGAGGGCTGTAGTTAAACAAAAAAAGACAGGAGAGTTGGCATGGGGGCATCGGCTCAATGAGAAGTTCGGGATTCGGTTCATCTTGCAATTGTTACAAATTTGTACAATGCTTTGTAATATTCAGAGCCCTTCTCATTCAGTATCTTCTTTTAACCTTTTGATTGCAAGGTAGCCAACACGGCGGTCGCACATGGGTACAGATGAAGTGATGGTACTGTAGCCAACCCCTCCCCCCAAAAAACAAGATTTAAAAAAATCCCTATAGTTTCAATTTAAAATTTCATGTACAGATTGCCAGCACAGATAATTTGCACCTGCTTTTAGAAATGTCTTGTATTGTGAGAGGTACATGTATGCTTTAAAACAAGGCACAGTCTTCCTGTGCACCTTGTTTTAAATTGAAATAGTGATGGGTGGGGGAGGGAATATTGCTATGCCTTGTGGGTTCAGGAGGAGCCAGTGAAAGCCCCTTGAATTTCCCCACAATTTTGTATCAACAAATGTAAGATATGAATGTTGACATTTTAGAAATAGCAGAGGGAAGAGAGGGAACCCTTTTCTTGAAACCTTAATATGCTGTGATAGCAAGGTACAAAGTCTACCCATACATTGCATCTGCTCTTTGCTTTTTCCAGCCACCGTCTCCTGCGCCCTACTGCAGACTTCAAGCAATAGCCTTGATGGTGGAGCAACCTTTCTAACCCTTATATAGGGAGCACAGAAATGAAAGAAAGTGACGCGGTGAGAAAGCAGAAAGGCTTACTTGATTTCAACAACGCTGCCAGAGTGTCCACTGCTGCCCTGGGGAAAGAAAAGAGAGAAAAGGGAAATGTCATTTCCCTCCCATAATTTCTAAGCCTAGAACATTGTAACCGTGACACCAAGACCACAAAAGGTGCATTCGCTGAGTCCGTCCCACCAACACACACCCAAGCAACGCTGTCCTCAACTTGACACCTTCCATATCTGCTGATCTCCCACAACCTCACCGACAACCGGTTACAGGTCTATGGCGAGTCCCATTCATCACCTCAGGAAAGACACCAGGTGGAGGAAGGCTGGCCAGTTCTGTAGAAGAGATTCCCTTTCGTCGCCTCTCACCTGGGAAATCCGTCCCCATCTCTGGTCCCTGCCTATGCCCTTGTGGATCAGCCTATCTGTGGGGCATAGACAAGACAGGGCAACCTCTCTGAAGTGAATCTGGGCAGGCTTTCCTTATCTCTCTATGCCACCATGGATCTGCTGATCCACAGGGGCATAGAAAGATAGACAAATCGCCTGGCTGCCCAAAGGGAATGCCCCCTCCCTTCCACCGTTTTCAATGGAACAGAAGCTAGGCTGCCAGAACAGAAACTGCCATTCCGGTAGCCTAGCTTCCATTCCACCAGAGGAGGACAAGGTAGGGAAGCGACAGAGCAGGCTGTGGGGGCAGGATTGTCATGAGCTGTCTAAAAAAAAAGACCCAACCAACCGACAAACCGATTTGTGGTTCATCAGTTTACCAGGGGTAAATTTATGGTTCATCAATCTTGACAAAACACAAACCAAGATGAACTGCCATTTTCTCTTTTATAAGGCTGGCCTCCTTCTTTGCTGATAATGCTCTTCCAACCCCCCAAAATGAATTTACAGTATCCGAGGCCACGAAACAGCCTTACGAACAAGCAGCGAGTTGCACATAAAGGCTAGCGGGGCAGATCCTTCAGTGGGAGCGGCCTGAAGATTGAAAACCAAGGCCACGATCAAAGCTACTGAAGGGTAGGGGAAACTCTAGACAACAGTCAGGAAGTTGCTGAGCAGTAGCCAGCGTCATGCATGCCAGTTCCCTGTATCGTCATGCCACCTGGGTATGAATCGTGCATGCCAGGCTGCACACATTTTTCACACCATGTCCTATGGTGCATCTGTAACCCTGATATTCAACACAGAATCAAAACTATACATAAAATGGCATCAAGGATTTGTTGGGAGATTGAGAGGAGATCTGAATTATTTTTTTTATGCTTCTCACAACTCCACAGTTGGGGCGGATGAATGTATAGAGATGTATGTATCTATTAGACTTATATGCTACTTATGCTACCCTCTGGGCGTGCAGCATAATTATGCAGGAGAGAAGGCTGAGTCAACCTCAGGCTGGCTACCCGAAGCCCGTCAGGTCACGAGCAGAGGTTTGACTGCAATCCTGCAGTTTGACCACTGCACCACAGGGCTCACATGCACAAGAGCAGGCCACAACATTATTCTCCCAGTCTAGATGGCACTCCCAGATTTGCCAACTAGATATGCCAACCCCAGTGGCGGAACTGGTCCTTACAGCAGGACTTTGAGCTGTGCCCGGAAACAGGCCAGTAGCCAGCAAAGCGGTTGCACCAAAGGAGAGGCATGCGCCCTTGTAACCATCACCAAGTCTACAAGCCAGCCTTTACATCTGGGATCATCTCAAGCTTCAGAGTACTTTTCAAATGAAGCCTCCCAGAAACTACGTCATAACTCTGTACACACATACACTTTTCTTTCTCATGGATTCTGGGAGCCAAGCAAGAATGTTTCCTAAATGTGCTGTTGACTCACTCGTCTCAGCTTTGCAAAGGAACTCCTGGCCATCAAGGACATCTGAGCAGCATCCGCTGCTGGATCCAGGAGTGGATCCAAACTGCACACCTCATTGTTCAAGCAGAAGGCAACTCCATCTAGCACAATATCAAGCATGTTAGCTTGTAAGGCTGCTCCCCTGAGAACAGAGGGAAAGCACCATGGAAGACTCAAAAGCCAGTTCCTTGAGGGATCCACCCAGCAACCAGACTGATCCACTGCTGCTAATTGGTATAGGCAAAGCAAGTTAAGACAGCAGGGGATGGGGATGTAAACATAACCGCCTGGCATCACTGTAAGGCAAAGCAACACCCTCTCCTACGGCATCAGAGGGAGATAATGAGATGACCAAAAAGGAAGGGATAAGGTAAAGGTTCCCCTTGACAATTTTTGTCCAGTCGTGTCCGACTCTAGGGGGCGGCGCTCATCCCCGTTTCCAAGCCATAGAGCCAGCGTTTGTCCGAAGACAATCTTCCGTGGGCACATGGCCAGTGCGACTTATACACAGAACTCTGTTACCTTCCCACTGAAGTGGTCCCTATTGATCTACTTGCATTTGCATGCTTTCGAACCGCTAGTTTGGCGGGAGCTGGGACAAGCGACGGGAGACCGCCTGGCATCACCGCAAAGCAACACCCTCTCCTACAGCATCAGAGGGAGATAATGAGATGACCAAAAAGGAAGGGGTAAGGTAAAGGTTCCCCTTGACAATTTTTGTCCAGTCGTGTCCGACTCTAGGGGGCGGCGCTCATCCCCGTTTCCAAGCCATAGAGCCAGCGTTTGTCCGAAGACAATCTCCCGTGGGCACATGGCCAGTGGCACATGGCCAGTGCGACTTAGACACAGAACACTGTTACCTTCCCACTGAAGTGGTCCCTATTGATCTACTTGCATTTGCATGCTTTCGAACCGCTAGTTTGGCGGGAGCTGGGACAAGCGACGGGAGCTCACTCCGTCCCATGGATTCGATCTTACGACTGCTTGGTCTTCTGACCCTGCAGCATAGGCTTCTGCGGTTTAGCCCGCAGCGTCACCACGTCCCTTAAAAGGAAGGGGAGTCAATCATTAAAAAAACACACGAGTGTGTGGAGGAAAAAGAGGAAATGCAAAGGCACTGAAGAGGCTCTGAAGAGCAAGGAGTGAGCAGTTGAGAGCATATGCCGCAGCAGAAATCTCGACAATAGGCTCACTGCAAAAGCTGAGGTTTGCCACCAGAAAGAGAGAAAATATACTCTAATCTCTTTCAAAGCACCGTTGAAACAGGGTGAGAGAGAGGCGCAAATATATTTTCCAACAAATCATATAGATTTCCACAGCGTTAAGAGTCTTGTTTGCATTGAGTCGGCTGTGTTGGGGAAGGCTGAGAGAGGCCATTTTCTAATAAATCTGGAGTCTAACACTAGGTAAGGGAAGAGTGTTGTGGAGATGAACGAGTAAAGAGCGGAACCATGGGCTGGATAGCTCACCGAGTTGGAGAGGTTGGCAGTTCGATTCCCCCACTGTGCCTCCTGGCAGAAGAATTGGCCTGGGTGGCCTCGGGCAAGATACACTATCCCTGGTGCCCCCAGAATAATTTTATTTATTTCACTTACTCATTATTGACACTTATATATCACTTGATATAGTGGGACCACCGCTCTGGGCAATCATTACAATATTTTATTTTATTTAACTTATATGCCGCCCACTCTACCCAAAGGTCTCTGGGTGGCTTACAACAATTAAAACACAACTCATTTGGAGAATTCTCTGCCTGGAACAAAATGAAAGGACAGCACATGATTCTTATGATTATGAGCACTAAAGGCATTTTCTTAACAGTGGGGATTCAGGAAAAAGCAAATTTCCTTATGAGGAATTTGAAGTTATTGGATTCTTTCTCATGTGCTGCTACAACGGAAGTTGCAAAAGCTAATGTTGACCATATCCTTTGTACCTCCATTAGCATATTCCTAAACTGGTTGTAAATTAGGATTCAGTTCGCATAGGATGAAGAACTAGCCGGCAGATGGCTCTGGAATTCTGGATTCTGCTAGTTTCAACCGTGAGGAAAGAGTTTTAAAAGGTTTAAGAGAAATCAGACAGCAAGGAAACAATGCTGGGTTTTCCAATTGCTTAAAAGACCGCCTCCTTCCATATGAACCTACCTGGCAGTTAGGATCTAGCCACGGGGCCCTTTTGAAAGAGCCATCCCTCAAGGAGGTTAGAGGGACGGCTTGTAGACAAAGGGCCTTTTCAGCAGCTGCCCCCAGACTATGGAACGCCCTCCCGACTGAGATTCATCTGGCGCCGACGCTGATGACGTTTCAGCGCCAGGTCAAAACCTTTCTGATCCAGAAGGCTTTTAATTGAAATAATATCAGCTGTGGGTCCTGATGGCAATTTTTAGAGTATCTATTTTAATTGCATTTCAATTGTTTTATCTTTTTATTGTATTTTAAATGTTGTGAGCCGCCCAGAGACCTTTGGGAAGTGTGGGCAGCATGTAAGTTAAATAAATAAATAAACAGCTCCTTGTACAACCTAAGTGAGTACATCAGAGTAAAAGCTTTTGTGTAGTTTTCACATGATCTTTTAATTAACTTTTAATTCAGTGGTTTAGGGATCCAGCTGTGGAGACAGAGGTTGGGAGTTTGATTCCATCACTGAGCCTCCTTAACAGGGTTGGACTTGATGATCTAAACGGTCCCTTTTTGGCTCTACTTTCCAAGATCATTAAGATCAAGCAAAAAGCTTTTTTACAGAATATTGGATCACAGAGAGAGAGAGAGAGAGAGAAGGATCCAGCTGTGGTGACAGAGGTTGGAAGTTTGATTCCATCACTGAGCCTCCTTAACAGGGTTGGACTTGATGATCTAAACGGTCCCTTTTTGGCTCTACTTTCCAAGATCATTAAGATCAAGCAAAAAGCTTTTTTACAGAATATTGGATCACAGAGAGAGAGAGAGAGAGAGAGGAAATGGAGTCACCAAAGGAGGGACCGATGCCATACTCAAAGATGAAGAGAGAAGTGGCACAATAATGACAAAATTTTATCTACTCACAAAAGGGAACAATTGGATGGCTCAGAAATAAATATAAGGTGGAAGTTCAAAACATCAAATATAGGCCCATCTCCCCTTGAGTACCCCACTAATCTGACACAGATATGAGTGTGTGAGGCAAGACAGTACAAAATCCATTTTATATGGGTCTACTCACAAATC